ATGTGCATTCCAGAACTATGACAGAAACATCTTATACATCCATGCATCATCCAGCAAGTCCTTCGCTGATGGCCTACCATGGCCAGGCCCTGCCGCTAGCATGATGAAAGGGGCAGAGGGAAAGGCACATAAACACAGACACAGCCTGAGCTGGAGTCCTCTGCAAACAAAGAGACAACACAAGCTCTAAGCAAGCATCTTGTATGGTCAGGACCATCCATCACTTGTCGTGAGAATGGACGGCAAGTGCTTTCTGGTCAGAATCTCCGAGCCACAGCGCAGAGGTGTGTCGGCCCCAGGACTGGTAAGCAGAAATGCTCTCACAGTTAACTCTTTCCTTACCTTTCTGGCGAGTGTACTGTGGTGTAGAGGAGGAAGAGGAGTCTGAAAGCCAGTCTTGCACAGAAGCATTGTCTTTTCTCACCAGCTTTTGTGACGACAGAACCTTTTGGTTATGAGAGAGGAACAAGCACGCGGGACCTGTTAGCTGCACAGATCCTCCTAACGGTTTAACTGTCTTACTTCATACAACGCCCACAGCTGTCACAATGAAAAGGGCTGCATACACTACGGCAGGAAGAGACCACAGGGCCTTGTAAAAGCCGGGCAGACAGTCAATAGAATAGCTATTGTATTTAGGCTGTGGGGAGCTTCATGTCCCGTTCTGCCTGGATGGCTTCCTCTCCACATTCCTGCAGGGTCTTGCTCAGGAAAGAGGCTGCTTCTGGCTTGCTTGGGACAGCACCCAGTGCCATTATATCTCAGCTCCGGTACTCCATGATGAAAGTGCATTGTGTGACAATAAGTGCTGGCTATCCTGGGACAGCCTCTACCTGGGCAACTGTCTAGGGCTGAGGCCAATGATGGTCACTATGTGACTCCACTGCTGATGTCATTTCCTGATGAAGTAGGATCACTTCTCCACTGTCACCATGTACGGTGGCAGAGCTACAAGGCTGTCCCTTAGAGGCACTCCCACTGGCAGAGTATGTGGGTTCAGTTCCCAGTACCCACACAGTGTCTCACAACCATCTGTAACTCCAGTTCCAGAGGATCTGACACCCTCTTTAGACCCTCTTGGGCACTGGGGACACAGGTAGTGAGCATACTTACAGGCAAAACACTCACACACATAAAATAAATACATCAAAAAAAGGAGTAAGTTATTAGGGGAAATGCATATGATTTCAAAAATCATATACACCGACACTGAACAGCAGAATCATTTGAATGAATATATTCTAATATACCCCACGTCTCCACGTACAGTAAGTTAAAAAAGCTTAGAAGTGAATGCAGAATGTCAGGAGTCCTGTAATGAGGAATGGAAGCAAGGGACAGAAAGCCTGATGAAGGCAGAGCAAGCCGTAGTGTTAGCGTGTGCCCGTGTGACAAGACTGTACCAGCCGGCAATGAGTGACCCCAGGAAAGCACAGGGTCTAGCACAGGGCTCCATGCAAGCCTCCTGACAGCTCTCGTCATGTCAGTCACGTGAGCGCACCACCCCAAATGCAGCATGTGGTCATGAGGTGCAGTGCCACGACGGGGAGCCAGCTTGGGGAAAATCTGGACAAGAAAATGTAAGGGGACAGTTGAGGTGGCAACGCCTTTATGCCCGGCATTCAGGAGGCAGAGGGAGGTGAGTGTCAGGATAGCCTGGTCTACTTAGTGAGTTTCAAACTAACCAGCTCAAGGTTACACAGTTAGATCCAATCTCAAATGAACCTCACAAAACAAATAAGCAACAACAACAACAAAAGCACACACACAAGCAAGTGTAACACATACACACACACAAGTAAGTGTAACACACACACTCACACACAAAAAACATAACACACACTCAACAGACACACACACACACACAAGCAAGCGTAACACATACACACACATAGACACACACAAGTGTAACACACACACTCACACACAAAAAACATAACACACACACTCAACAGACACACACACAAGCGTAACACACACAGACACACAGACTCACATTCACACACACTCACACAAGCAAGTATAACACACACACAAGAAAGTATAAGACACACAGAAGCAAGCATAACATACATACACACAAAATTAAACATAACACACACACACTCACATACACACATATACGAAAGCAAGCATAATACATACACTCACACACACACTAGCAAGCATAACACATATACACACACACACTACATGCACAAATAAGCATGCATAACACACACTCTCTCTCTCACACACACACACACACACACACTCACACACACTACACACAGAGATAATATACACAGCAAAAGAAGAATCCTATTACACCCTCATGAAGATATTTATCTTCGCCTTTGAAGGACTTGACTTCAAAGGATAAACCAAGAAGTTTAAGTTTTTTGCTCCATCCAGATAGACACAAGACTGAGAGCACTAGCAATGGAACAGAGCGAAGACGATGCCTGCTCACGTGTTCTAGGCAGCCTACTGTGGGTAGCAGGTGGGGAGCAGCTTGGGGATGTGGAGGTTACCTGATCCCTGTGAGGCACGGCGTATGCGGCATCTCTGCCATCTCCCACATCCTTCCAGGTGGAGGACTCCGACTCCCTGCAGCTGGTTGACACCTGTGTTTCAGCATCTTCATCCTCCCTGAGGCCTAACGTCGCAAAGGATGGTAGTGAAGTCCTTCTTGGCTCATTCTGCCAGCTTTGCCTGTGTTAGGTCATTAACGGATGACAAAAACAAGTGACTTAGCACTTTGTGCTGATATTGGAACACTTTTATTTTATTTTATTTTATTTTATTTTATTTTGAGACATGATCTCACTTCAGGCCCTGCCTCAGCCTCCCAAGTGTTGGGATTACTGGCCCACCCCACCCCACCAAGCTATTACGCACGTCTTAAATGTGCTGTCTCCAGGTCCACGGCAAAGAAGTATTGTAACAGTAAAACACATGGGAGATGAGTAACGACAGCGGCGGCTCTCCCTGCGCTGTATCCCTCTAAGTATTGCTTTATACCTGTTTTTACATACTCTGGACATACAGAACTCACTATTTTTAAAAAGATGTATTTGTATTTATATGTATATCAACATGAACAGAGGCCAGAAGGGGGCGCTGGACTCCCCTGGAGCTGGAGTTAAAGGAGATTGTGAGTGGTCTAGTGTGAGTGCTGGGAACTGAACCTGGGTAAAGCCAATGCTCTTAACCTCTGAGCCATACCTGCATCTGCTATTAGTAAGACTGTATTTATTTGTTTTTTTAGTTACAGGTATGTAGGCATAATGTTATTGTGTTTGTGTGAAAATTCAAATGCTGATTTTTGTCTCCCTGTATCTGGTTGCAATCCTTATTCTGAGAATCTCCTGTCTCAATCTTATGTAAACACCAGCTCCCCAATTGTTCCCTGATGTGGTAATAAAGAGAGCTTAACAGCCAATGACCGAGCGGGGAGAGAATAGGGCTGGACTTCCTGCCAGCCCTGGGAGAGGGAGGAAGCGGAGATTAGCAATGGGGAGAGGAAACACCATGAAAAACAAAAACCTGGAACAGAGAAAGCCATAAAATGCAAGTATTGAGTTCCAGGACAGCCAGGGCTACAAAGAGAAACCCTATCTTGAAAAAACAAAAACCAAAAAAAAAAAAAAAGGATCTCGGTGATTTTGGCTGGGAGGTAGCCAGATAAGGTTGGAGGATTAAAATAGAATAATGCTGCTCAGTTGTTGTGCCCTTAAAGCTTGATTAATAAATATAACAATACAGTTTTTAATTATTTGGGAGCTAGCTGGGTAAGAGGAAAACTGTAATACACTTATTTAAAAAACAGTAACACAGGTACGTGCGTGTGTGCCTGTGTGTAGGTAAATGCTTGTGAGTGCAGGTGCCCATGGAGGCCAGAGCATCAGATTCCTCTGGAATAGGAGCTACAGGCGGTTGTGAACTGCCTAATGTGGACACTGGAAACCAAACTTGGTCGTCTGCAAGAACAGTATATGCTGTGTGCTGTACTCTTTACTGCTGGGCTGTCTTCTCCTGACCTTGTTTCTTGTTTTTGTTTATTGAGATGATCTCACTAAGTAGCCCTGGCTGGACTGGAACCTGTTATGTAAATCAGTCAGGCCTGCCTCTGCCTTCTGTATGTTGGGATTAAAGGCATGCACCGTCACACCCAGCAACTAGTAAGATCTTACAGTCAACATTTTGAATGGTAGATTATGTATGTCTTTTTAACATATGATTAAAAGAAAAATGTTTGGCTGGGGGCATAGTTAGTGTTACAGCTTTTGCTTAGTATGTAGAAGACCTAAGACTTACCCCTAGAATGGAAAAACAACTACTTTTGTTGTTTTGCTTTTGTTCTGAGATAGTATCTCACACAGCCCAAGCCGGTCTGAAATTTACTGTATAGCCAAGGATAGCTTTGAACTCCTGATCCTTCAAGTTCCATCTCCCAAATTCTAGGACTACAGAATTCTAGGACTACACAATTCCCAGCCCCCCCAGGACCCTCTTCAAAAAATCAACTTATTTTACCTTCTAAGTTCCTAGCTTGGACGTACATGGCCATTGTCCGGGGAGCTCATGGTTTTACGTATGTGAATACCTACAACGATCCTTTAATCCCATAGGAACTGACTGGGGTGTAGGATTTGAACAAGGTTCAAAGCTGATTTGTTTTCAAATAGTCAGTTGATGTACTGAAGACCTTCCTTCTTACTGGTCTGTCCCAGGTGCCTAGCGCATTCGCAAGTGCCTCTCACCGCTGAGCCGAGCGGTTCACATTCCTGTCACTACTTAGCATTGTGCTTTAAAATATGGCAGGGTTAGCCCAGCCCTCACCTGGACTGGCATTCTTCCCTTGACGGTTTTATATCCTTTTTTCAGTTTCTTATTTTTAGTTCAATTCAATATAAATGTAATTCTTAGAAAAGGCCTTGTCTAAATCCTTGTCTCAGAACTCAAGGAACAATTATTGTCCCTGTCAGTGTCTCCTGGACACAAGTGACAGAAACCTGGTGACCACACCTCACATGGCCCCATGCACAGTGGACACAGCCATGCTGAGCCGCCCTCTACTGCTATGAGAGGACGCAGAGCCGCAACACGTCCCTACCGAAGCCTCAGCTCTGAGGTGGTGGCGTAGGGCTCGATGAAGCTGTCCTTTTCAACGTAGGAGGCATCACTCTCAGACCGGGATCTCTGGCGAGGCTGGGGAATGGCAACTGTCTGTCCAGTCAACGTGGTTGCCAGGATGGCTGCAGCCAGAGCCGACCTGTGAACAGGAACATGCCAAAGAGGCCCTGAGCAATGGGCATTCAAGCTGCAGGCTGACCAGGCAAGGGTAACCTCGTTCACTGCAGCTGCTGATTGAGACCGTGATGGCCCATCAGAATCCTCACTTACCTCTCACACTAACTGTATGATCAAATTTTAGCAGTCACTTTTTATAGCAACTGAATGATTTAAGACTTTTCCAGTCCAGTGTTCTCAATCTTCCTAATGCTTGAGACCCTTTAATGTTGTGGTGACCCCCAATCATAAATTTTGTTTTGTTTTGCTTTGTTTTTCCAGACAGGGTTTCTCTGTGTAGCCCTGGCTGTCCTGGAACTCACTCTGTAGACCAGGCTGGCCTCGAACTCAGAAATCCGCCTGCCTCTGCCTCCCAAGTGCTGGGATAAAAGGCGTGCGCCACCACTGCCCAGCTATAAATTACTTTGTTGCTACTTTACAACTTTAGTTTTGCTACTGTCATGAATTGTAATGTAAACTTGACATACAGTATGTCTGGTATGGGACCCCCAAGGAAGTCACAGTCACAACCACAGGTTGAGAACTACTGACCTAGCCAATAGGATGTCACACTAGGTTGTAACTCTACATAGTCAGACATGCAAAGCCTATATTCAAATCATTTTCTTATTAAAACAAAAGATCAGACTGGAGTAGAAGAATGAGATCCAGGAAAACTTAGGCCAGGTGTGGTAGCATACATCTTTGATCCCAGTACTTAGGGAGCAAGGCAGGCAGATCATTGGGAGTTGGAGCCAGGCTGGTCTACATAGCAAGTTCTACACAACCTGGGCTAGATAGTGAGTCCCTAACTTAAGAATATATAAATAGCCAGGTGGTGGTGGTAGATGGGTTTAATCCCAGCAATCCCAGGAGGCAGAGGCAGGTAGATCTCTGAGTTCGAGGCCAGCCTGGTCTACAGAGCAAGTTCTAGAACAGCCAGGGCAACACAGAAAAACCCCTGTCACACACACACACACACACACACACACACACACACACACACACACAAACAAACTTGTAATGATGAAAAGACACATCAACTAAACACAGGTATCTCCAGTATTACCTGGCCAGCTAGCCTAGCCCAAAAGGCAAGCTTCTGATTCAGTGAGAGATCTGTCTCAGATGAACAAGACTAAGAACAGAGGAAGACACCACCTAACAAACTGCAAACTCACATGCATATAAGCCACACAACACACATGCACACACTAAAAACCCCCACAAACCCAAAACAAGAAACCCTATAGACCGCTGAGCCCCTCCCACTGAGCCCCGCCCACCGAGCCCTGCTGTGCTACTGACCCTATTTTTCAATTTGCCCTTATCCACAGACCGGAGACCTTTACTCTTTATAAGGTCGGCTTAAGTCCAACCCTCTGCGCTCGGTTCTTGAAGCAGCTGCGCAGCTCCAGAGACAGAGTAAAAGGCGACCTTTTATCATTTACAGGCAGCCTTTTCAAACACCCAAGCTTAGAACAATGAGGACAGAGGGAGCCTGCGGACAGGGGGAGCCTGCGGATGGCGGGACCCTGCGGATGGTGGAATATATGGGAACTTCCAGGAAGGGGAATAAGACCTCCAGGTGCCTGGATGGCCAACTCCATGGAGACAGAAACACTTGTGCTTGGGACCTTTCCATCCCTAACCCTATGGATCATTACATCACATGCCTATCTGTGTCCTTTAAAACATCCTCTGTAAAGCCAGGCATGGGACACACACTTGGGAGTCTGGAGCCAGCCTGGGCTACCCGACCTCACAGAAAAACCAAAACAAAGAGTAAAACAGCCTCCATAATAAACCAATAAAACGCGCAAATTCAAGGCCAATGAAGAAGCCACATCTGTGTGGAAGACCCTGCAGGCTGACAGACTGATAGGAGAGGTAGCTAGGGAGATGGACTGCTTCAAGATCAAAAGCTGACAAGACTTCACAGCCAGTTACAACCAACCTTTGATCTGGCCTAATCTCCTTGCACCTTCGGGGAAACTCTTGGGACATATTATTGAACTTGACAGAGTAGTAGCTTCCACAAACCCCAAGAAAGTCGTAAGCACCTTACGGCCCGTCCATGCTCGGCAGCAGCCTGCTTCCAAGGCCTATGTTTTGCATCAAGTTTTCCCAAGATCTGTGAGCACACTTATCAAATCCAAGGACTTGATTGTGAGAGCACCAGCTTCCTTCCGGGTCAGAACACAGGCAGAAACACCTGGGCTGTATCTGGTATCTAAAGTGGGGGCTGGGCAGTGGGGGCAGGGCAGCGGGGGCAGGGCAGTGGGGGCTGAGCCCTCAGCCGATGGGATCTGATATAACCTTCAGTCTTAGAACTTAATTGGATTAAAGAAGACCCAGCCACTGCCCACCCAAGAATTCATTACGTCCAGATTGGCGTGTCGATTATTGTTGGGCGAGAACCCAGGAGGAGCCGAAAGGCTTTTCCTCTATAACCTCAGAACCACACTCATTAGATGCCTGGAAATTTAAAGACTCATCAAGATAATCTCTCACATGCAGCCTTCCACACAGAGCTGGCAGACGGCTCCCACAGTGAACAGCAGCAGGTAGGGCCATCCTGCCATCACAGGAGGACAGCAGCAGTGCTCACAAGCACACCCCGAAACTCTCGATAGAGAGCAGAAACGTACCTAAGGCTAAGTGAACAAGGAGTAGGTTGCCTGTGAGTGGACAGGATTGTCAAGAACGCACGATGGCAATGAGAGTCGCCCGACAGGCTCAGGACGTCGCTTACTTGTGCATGGTCACCGCTTTCAAAAACCTAGAAAGTCAGGTTTTTGACTACAAGCCTGGTAGTTAGCTCAGAACCAGGGTCCTGTTTCCAGGCAAGGGCCACTCATTTCTAGCTCAGAATAAACTACGAAGACTGACAACCAAATGCTCACTGCGGTGGGAACACAAACACAGCAGTGGGAAATGGCTCCATAATCACTTTAGAAATAAAAGGCTTTGCTTTTCTTTTTTTAAGAGGCTGGAGAGATGGCTCAGTGGTTAGGAGCACAAGAAGCTCTTCCAGGGGATGCAGGTTTGGTTCTGAATACCCACAAGGTAGCTCACAGCCATCTGTAACTCCAGTCCCAGGGGACAGAACACCTTCTTCTCACTTCTGAGGGCACAAGCAGGCATGTTGTACACAGACACATATGCAAACAAAACACTCATAAAAACAAGGTCTCGACGGGCAGTGGTGGTGCACGCCTTTAATCCCAGCACTTGGGAGGCAGAGGCAGGTGGATTTCTGAGTTCGAGGCCAGCCTGGTCTACAGAGTGAGTTCCAGGACAGCCAGGGCTACACAGAGAAACCCTGTCTTGAAAAACTAAAATAAATAAATAAATATATAAATAAATAAAAACAAGGTCTCACTATGTAGCTCAGGCTAGCCTAGGACAATCAATCCTCTTGCATCAGCTTCCTGAGTGCTGGAATTACAAGGGTATGCAACTAAGCTCTTAAAAAAAATTATTACTTTTAATTATGTGTATCTAACGTTGGCCTCTGTGTAGGTATGTGCAGAGTAAGTACAGGTGCCCAAGAAGACCAGAAAGGTTGGAGCCGGAGTTACAAGCCACTGTGAGCTGTCCCATGTAGTTGCTGGGAACTGAACCTGGGTCCTCCGCAAGGGTAATGCATGCTCTTATCAGATGAGCCATCTCTACAGGCCTACCTTCCTGCCAGTGGGGCTACTGCCATGACATTCTAAGCAGTGATCAATAACTGAACCTCACAGGTGACCCAAAACAGGGATGACCACAAGGCCCTCTCACGGTGTCACTGAGAGGGTGGGGGAGACACTGCTTCTTCAGTACCCACTAGGCTACTTGGCACAGAGTGACCACTAATAAATGGCTCTCTAGGTGATGGACTCTGCTGCAGGCAAAATCAAACACTGTGACACCACAGAGTTCTTTCCTCCCCTAGTGGTGAGGATGGAATCCCGGAGCGTCACGTGTGCTGGGCAAATGCTGAGTCGTCAAGTCTAGTCCCAGCCCTTCAGAGTTCTAATCAAACGCACAGAATATACCAGTACCAAAGATCACATAGAGAGCGGCCTTCTAAAGTGGACTTAGCTCTTATTGATAACTAATAACCAAACCAATGTACAGATTGAAAACAGAGCAGTGGACTGAAGAGACAGCTCGGCGAGTTAAAGAACGCGCGCTGTTCTTGCAGAGGATCTGATTTGGTTGCACCTACACTGGGTGGCTCACAGCAGCTCCAGGGACCCAATGTCCTCTTCTAGATTCCAAGGGTACCCACATCAAAGTACACACACACACACACAAATGCCCACATACATACACATACAAAGGCATATACACATAGTTTCTAATTTTTGTTTTTGTTTTTCTTCTCTGTAGTCCTAGCTGTCCTGGAACTCGCTCTGTACTCCAGGCTGACCTCGAACTCCTCTACCTGCCTCTGTCTCCTGAGTGCTCAGATTAAAGGAGTGTGCCACCACCGCCCGGCTACCTATAAAAATGTAAAGGACAACAACAAAAAAATCAGACTAGCTAGGCATGGTGGCTCATACTCTTGATAGGCTGAGGCAGGAGGACTGCTTTGAATGCAAAGTCAGGCTGGGCCACAAAGCAAGACCCTATAGAAAACAAACAAAACAAATCTCAAGTTTTCTTTTTTTTGTTTTGTTTTGTTTTTCCGAGACAGGGTTTCTCTGTGTAGCCCTGGCTGTCCTGGAACTCACTCTGTAGACCAGGCTAGCCTCGAGCTCTCGAACTCAGAAATCCGCCTGCCTCTGCCTCCAAAGTGCTGGGATTAAAGGCGTGCGCCACCACCGCCCGGCAAGTCTCAAGTTTTCAAGTGTCTAAAATCTTGGCAGATATAGACAGTGGTCCCAGGAATGAAGAGAGAGTTGGCTGGCTGCTACACCGAGCACTAGGCGGTCAGGAACACTAGTTCCTGGAAGGGAATATGTTCCTTCCGTTTAATACAAAGTAGTTTGTTGTTGTTTTAATGCAGAATTGTATCTAGAAAGACATTTTTGCGCAGTTCTCCTAAAAGTGCCGTTAGCCTGGAAGGACACTAAGCTGAGATGCAGAGTACATGTTTAGCATGCACAGGCCGTGGCTTCCACTCCCAGGAAGAAAAGAGGGAGGGAGGGAGGGAGGGAGGGATAGAGGGAGGGAGGGAGGGAGGAAGAAAGGAAGGGTGGATTAACTTAAACTTGGTGCTCTATACTTAACAGGCACCAACTGCATCCAATCCTGAAATCCGAGATCCTCCCCTGAAGGTATCAGACCCCAAGCAAGTCCACAGATGCTCAGAGAAGCCAGATCAAGTGCATCACGGAGCAGAGGTAAACACCGCAGAGGGCCTTAGTCTAGCCCTCTACTAGTGGCCTCTTGGCCAGTGTGATCGGTTCCAGGGTTCAGGGCTTGATGGTCAAGCGTGGGGGTGACCCTCGGTGCTGCTCATCTTGAGACTTACCTGGGCCTCTCTGGAGAAGGGTTGGGGCTTCGGGGAGGGGGTGTGCGTGGCACAGCTGGCTTCGGAGCAATGCTGGCTGCAGGGAGGAAGCCATGGATGATGTGGTTCTGCACAAATGAAACCCAAGGCAGGTCACTGGGTGGAGGAAATCACCTGGCTCCTGTGCCACCATCACCTCCCAAGCTGAGGCCATGCCGGGGATCCCTCTACCCTGCTGCTGTTCCCAATCCCTGTTGGTGAGGCAAGCACACTCACTGGGGCACACCATCACGGCTGGCTTTCCTGCTCACCACGGCTTTCCTGACTGATTTCAATTGCCAACTGAACTGGGTTAGTTCACACCTAGTGCGTTGTGAAGCACACCTTTGGGTATCTGTGGAAGGTCTTTTCCAAAGAGGATTAACTAACTGAGCTGGTCTGATGTACCCTAAATATGAGGAGAACCAACTCCTTGGGGTAGGAGTCTCAGACTGACGAGAAAGGGAAAGAGGAGAGAAGGAAGATCAGCTGGGCACCCGTTCTTCTGTCTACGCTTCCTGGGCTGCACATGCCTGCCACCATGGAGCCAACCACTGCCACACCCTCCCCCCACTCTGATGGACTGTGTCCCCTCAAAACCATGAGCCAAAATAAAGCTCTTTTCCCATCAGCTGCTTCTTGTCAGGTCTCAGCGAGAAAAGTAATCAATACACTGACCATTCATTACCTTCCAGGCTTCCAACACACAGCACTGTCCTCAGTGACTCATGTCACCCAGGTCTTCCTGCTCCCGAGCAACAGGTGCCTTTCTTATCCTTATCAACCCTGGCACTCTAACGCTGAGTATAATGACTCATCTCACAGGAGGAGCCTGACTCCTGGTGGCTCACCGCAAAGCTGCACAGTAAGGAGGGCGAGCTCCTACTTATGATGAAAGTCAGAGGGGACGCCACCCCACTTTGATGAACTGGGTGGAGGGGGGGTCTCTCAAGTTTCTGAACCCTGTGCAGTCTGTTTTCTGGGCACCAGCCACTCACACCCACTAGACGCAGGATGCCATGAGTGACGATGAAGACGCGCTGTCTTCAGCCCACTCTATGGTGGGAAAACACTCACACGGTCGAAACAGAACGCAGAATTATGAAAAAAATGTCAAGGGACAAGAAAAATCAAAATAGCCTAAGGAAATACGAGCTGTTGCCCCATGCCTGCTTCATCCGGGACCACTGTGCACTGAGCTGGACCGGAGGGAGAGAAGCCTAGCAGGGCACAGGTGAGTGCAGGGCAGGATCGTGGTGGGCAATGAGTGCACGTGCAATGAACAAGTCCAGGAACAGCTTTGGAGAACTGGTTCATTTATTTGGGGGGTGGGTATTTATGCCCATGGGAAGGTGGCCAGGGTCTCTGGGGCAAGTATTATGTGGCCATGGATGGGCAAGGGCAAGGGTGTTAGAAGACGCTTCATTTACATACTCAGGGTCTGTAGTGGGGAGGAGGGATGGGAGACCTTATACAGTTAACCAAGGAGTGAAACCTGATACCTGTCAGGGTAATAAACTGGTGGTGGGAAGAGGCGGCTTTATTGCCTTTGTGGCACCAGATTGGGAGTAGGAAGCTACTCAACTCCTGGGAGACATCATTATACCTTTTCTTCATAACCCTGGGACATTACTGTCCCACCAAGGGTTCCTGTAGGGTTTTTTGCCTTTCTTTCTTTCTTTTTTTTTTTAAACATTTACTTATTTTATGTGTGTGAATGTTTTGTCTGCATATATGTATGGATACCACGTGCAAGCGTGAGTCTGTGGAGGTTCAGAAGAGGACATCAGGTCTCCTAGGCATGGTGTCTTGGATGGTTGTGAGCCAGCATGTGGGTTTTGGAAGTTGAACCCATGTCCTCTGCAAGAGCCAACATGTGCCCTTAACCACTGAGCCATCCCTCCAGCCCTCCATTGAAACCAGCAAGGAAACTTCAAGTTTTTCCCTAGGGAAAAAGGCACGGAGGCATTGAGAATGGGTTTTCAAAGACCTCTGTACTGGAAAAGGAGCACCATGAACTCAGGAACTGACAAAACACCAATGGCAGGCGACTTAGACCAGGAAAAGAAGACACAAGGAATCTGTGGGTCGTCTCAGTTTATTCTTGGGGGCTGGAGAAATGGCTCAGTGGTTAAGAGCATGTTACCAACACCAATGCCGGGTGACTCACAACTGCCTGTAACTGCACCTTGAGGGAATCCAGTGCCTTTGGCTTCTACAGGCAAGTGCCCAAACTCACACTTGAGACACACATAATTAAAATCAATCTTTCTTAAAAGGCTATTAAATCGAGAATATAACTCGGTGACTTAACTGCTTGCCTAGTGACCAAAAGGGCCTGGAATAGTGACTTTCTCTCGACCTTGAGACTGGGTCTCACTGTGTAGCTTTGACTAGTTTGGAACTCACTGTGTAGTTCAGACTGGCCTTGAACTCACAGGGGTCTGCCTACCTCTGCCTCCAGAGTACTGAGATTAAAGGTGTATGCTATACTCTTCCTGGCTTAAAGGCCCTGAAATGGAGTCATAGCACCACAAAATATAGTTGGCACAATGAACAGATTGTAGTGAGAGGAATGGGGTATGTGCCCATAGATTGCTGGAGTCGAGATCCTAGAGAAATCCTAGAAAAATGAGTAAGAAGTCACGTGTGCTGGTGTAAGTCTGTAATCTCAGCCCTCAGGAGGCAGAGGCAAGAGGGCTGTGGGGAGTCACACAGGAAGACCCCGTTTCAAAACCAAAACCAAACAGAAGAAATATAAACCAGCAAGCCACCAGGGAATGAAACTAGGAAGATCCTACATTGGCACATAGCGACACAGAGGCTTTTAGAAGACCTGGAAGAATACACCCAGGCAGAAGGAACAGAAAATGTCAGTGTGTCTGGCTAGTGAGTGTGGCATGATCAGATCTGTGCTTTTCAAAGTTTCAGTCACTGCTCTATGTACAGCAAATCTCGGGGACCTCAGAGATGAAAACGGAGAACCTAGGAAACATCTGATTAGGAAGCAGTCCAGGTAGATAGAAGCCAGGTCAGAGTGGATAAGGTAAGATCCGATGGGCAGACCCGAAGGACCTGCCAAAGCCTGTAGGTACTGCAGGGTGCAGGGAGGGACCAAGTAGGACTTCCCTACGGGGACATCCGGCCATGTCACAGTTTTCAACAAGACAGGAATGAACTCCCAGCCAAGGGGAGAATCCTGACAAGGAGGTCGAGATTCCTGTCTGTGGCGGACTCTGGACATGAAGGATTCTTTGGAACACGAAGTCTGGGTTTCTGAAACTTAATGGTCCCTGATAGTGTTGCCCCCTCACTCCTACCTCAGGTCTTAAAAACTGCACAGGGTGGGCTGAAGAGATGGCTCAGTGGTTAAGCCCATTGTCTGCTCTTCCAGAGGTCTTGAGTTCAATTCCCAGCAACCACATGGTGGCTCACAACCATCTATCTGTAATGGGATCTGTAAAGCGCCCTTTCCTTCTATGCTGGCACACATCCAGATAGAACACTCATATAAATAAGTAAATCTTTGTTTTTTTAAAAAAACCGCACACGAAGGCCTGGAATTACTCACGAACTGGCTCCGGCGGTTCCTGCGGAAGCTGAGGAGCATCCTGGCTGAGGGCTGGGGACAGGAGCCCGGCGCTGGACTGGCTGGAAGATAGCCCCGCAGCCCGCACAGCTCCCCGCAGCTTAGCTCCCGCGGACCCCCGACTTTAAAACAAACACGTCTCACATTGGCTCTGTTCTGAGTCTCAGCCAATCAGAGTCAATTTTACTGCCACCCGTTGCTCTTGACAACCCAGCAAGGCGTCATTCAAATTCCAGCCATTCAAACGGCAGGCTGAGCCTTCCGTTCCCTTATTGGCTGTGGTAGACGCCAATCCTTTACACATCACCCAATCAAACGCAGGATAGGGCGGTCAGAATTTTAAAGAGGGCTCCTGGGCTGTAGGAACCCGGAAGTGGCGGGGCGTCTGGGGACGTTCACAGAGGTTCTAGACCCCGGAGCAGTGAGCTTCCCTGCCGTTGTAGCCCCTGACAGGGACCGAATAGAGGAGCCACCATAAGCGCCCTGTTAGAGCTAAGGGAGGTGCTTACAAAGAGGGACGGAGTCACTAAAACAGAAGTCTCCTGGTTTTAGCCTGGGGTGGTGGCGCCCGGCTGTCATTCTAGTACTCGGGCTGCTGAGTTCAAGTCAAGCTTGAGCTAGTAGTCAACTATCCGTACAGAGAGAGCCAAGCTTTGATAATAAGACCCAATCATGTTTTGAAAATAAATAAATACATTTCTTGAATTCAGACGTCGGTTGAAGTAGTTCAATGCCTGAAAAGCCACTCTACAGATCCCGCAGAGAGGTCCGGACTTCGTGTAGAACTGTGTGCAACAGCGCCTGCTCTAGTGAAATCTTGCATTTTCCTCATTAGACCAAAAAGCACGGATGGAAAGGAACCCCTCTGGTGGTACAGGTCCGGTCCACGTGCCACTGGGGCATATTGTGGCTAATGAAAAATGGCGCGGGTCCCAACTGGCTCAGGAGATGCAAGGTCAGTGGTCTATCTTCTACTCCTTACTTCCCAGCACGTTAAAAGAGGGAGAGAAATGCTGATTATGGTGTTGTTCTTTTGCAATCTCAGCACTCCTAGACCGAAGCAAGAGAATCATTGAGTTGGAGACCAGCCTGGGCTACATAGCAAATTCAAGGACAGCTTGGGCTATGAGAGCTCGTCTCAAAATAATTACATAGACTAACATAAAAGGAGACTAGAGAGATAGCGCAATGGTTAAGAGAACTGGCTGGTCTTGCAGAGGATCTCGGTTTAATTCCCAGCAACTACATGGTGGCTCAGGGGATCAGACTCCTCCCTCTTCTGGTCTTTGGGGGCACTAGGCTCACACGTGTGCACAGACATATGCAAGCAAAATTTACATATAAATCTTTGGGTTTTATTTTATTTTATTAAAAAGGAGGCTTAAGCCAGGTGGTGGTGGGTCACACCTTTAATTCCAGCCACTTGGGAGGCAGAGGCAGAAGGATCTCTTGAGTTCAAGGCCAGCCTGATCTACAGAGTGAGTTCTAGAACAACCAGGGCTACATAGAGAAACCCTGTCTCAAACCACCAAAAAAGCGGAGTGGGAACTAGAGATGGCTAGATCCCCACCATCTCCATTGGGCTTCTCCTTACTGCCTGTAATTCCAATTCCAGAGGATTTGATGCCCTCTCATGGCCTCTCAGGGTATCTGTGGGCACACAGACACACACATATTTTTAAAATGAGTCTTCGCACAAAAATTACCTTTTACCTGTTGCTGCCTTGTTATATGGAATTTCTAAAAAACTCATTTTCTTGTCTGTTTTTCTAGGAAAAGTTAGACTCATTTTTGAGGAGGGTCTGGCATCAGCAGATTTTTACCTGTCTAGCAAATCTTGTATTCTCTATATCACTGAAGCAGATTTGGTAGCCGGGCATGGCTACAGAAAGAGACTTGCTCGCTTTAGAAACGTAAGTACCGAATTAGAGGCACTAAACTCTAGCATCCCCTCTCACCAGCTGTCCCAAGCACTGAGGGATAGCTTTCTGAACTTCAAAAGGAGCTGTTGTTACCAGACCTTACTCTTTTCTTTTGAAGTCTGCACATCTTCAAGGGATTGTAATAGTTGAAAAAACCCAGATGAGTGAACAGTACTTCCCGGCAGTCCAGAAGTTCACTGTGCTAGACCTTGGGATGGTGCTGCTTCCAGTGGCGAGCCAGTCGGAAGCATCCTGCCTCATTATCCAGTTGGTAAGTACCAGACTTCTCCGTTATAATATCCCATCCAGAAGACGCTCAGTTTGCCTCAGATCCAGACTTACCAAAGCTGCCTTTATTATAATGGTGTCGGTTTCTCAAAATAATTTTCTTTTTTAATTTTGTTTTGTTTGTTTTGTGAGAAGGGTTTTTTTCCATGTAGACCGGGCTGGCCTCACAGAGATCCTCCTACCCTTGATTCCCAAGTGCTAGGACTAAAGGTGTGCGATACCACACCAGACTTCAAAATAAATTTTGACACAGGGTCCCGTGTAGCTGAGATCGCAGGCATGTGTCACCACCCTGGGCTTTAGGCAGTGCTGGAGGTTGAACCCAGGACTTACTCTGCATGCAAGGAAACACTCTGCCAGCCAATGAGATCTCCATCTGGTTTCTTGAAACTTTCGTGTATAACAAAGGCTGTAAGTCAGAGCTCTGATTTTGGCCTCCAGACTGAACAGATGCAATCACCACTATCCTGCATTTGTACTGGGCAAAATGGCACTTGGCAGCCCCTTTGTCCCATTCACACATGACATTATTTAAGTGGCAGCATTTCTTCATTTGTTTTTTTGTGCCCACTCCCCATTCCTGCCTCACCCCGTAAGGCCTGTGGAGCCCAGACTGTCCTTGAACTCCTGATCCTCCTGCTTCTACTTCCCAGGTCACAGGCATTTCTGACGCCATGCCTAAGATTCAGTACTTCTGTGTATAGGCTTAATGCATTTATCTCTTTGCAACAAATAAACAAACAACTAAAAATAAAAAAAACCTGGGGCTGGGGGATGGCCCAGCATTTGAAACACTTCCTACGCAAGCACGAGAACCTGGGTTTGATGCCCCACCCCCACCCCATCTGAAAATGCTATACATGATGACACACACCTGTAATTCCACCCCTGGGGAGAGAGAGAGGCAGAGAGATACCTGTGGCTTGCTAGCCAGCCAGTCTGCCTAGCCTGACCAACCAGCTACAGGCAAGGAGAGACCCTGTTTCAAACCACGTGGTGTGCTTGGAGCCCAAGGAACACACAAGGTTGACCTCCGGTCCCCATATGCACACAAACGTGTATTCCTGTGTGAATCCACACACCCAACAAAAACAAACGGTGCTGGCTTCCTTTCCTTTGCTCTGTTCCCGAGTTTTCAGGCTGTTTGCTCTTTACCCTTTCCTAGGGAGCTTGTCTGCTCTTCATCCCAGTCTCACTGTGTAGCCCAGAGTGGCTTACAGGCCACTTACTTTGTAGCCCAGGCTGACTTCTAACTTGTAATGCTTCCTGAGTGCCGGGAGTATAGGTGCTATGCCGTGTCCAGTGCTCCTGGGAAGTGTTTTAAGAACAGTGTCATGGGCTGGCAAGTTGTGCAGTGGGTAAAGGCAGTTGCCACCCGGGGCTCTGAGTTCAATCCCTGGAGTCCATATGGTGGAAGAAGACTCTCTTCCCAGATCGTCTCCTGACCTCTACATTCATGCTGTGGTACATACATGTCTCCCCCAAATAACGTAAACTAGCATTTCCACCCACGACAAACCCCAATAAAAATTCACAAAAGTCAAACAAATAAAATGCATAAATAAATTATTGTCCGGAGGCAAGCTCATGGAACATGCCTACAGTTCCAGCCTCTGAGAGCCAGGAGGATCATAACTTTGAGGCTATCCTGGGCTGGGCTACATTACTTATATATAAACTGAATGACATGGAACAACTGTCCTAAGGGGCTAGGGAAGTGACACAGTAAGTAAGCCACACAGACACGGGGGACCAGAGCTCATGTAAAAAGCCCACTGGGGAGGTGAAAACAGCAAGATCCTTAGTCTTTCTACCTTGCAGAGCTCGGGGTTTACTAAGAATCCCCACCCCCAGACATGCACACGTGCACTGCAGCATGCATGTGTACATACATAAACTACACACACACACACACACACACACACACACACACACACACACACACACCTTTTTTAACTACCTGTCCACCAGAGGGCGCTCACACCCTTTCCCTTTAATTTTCCCATTCAGGTTCAAGAGCAAACCAGAGAGCCCAGCAAGAACCCTTTCCTCAGGAAAAAGCGCTCCATGCTTTCTGAGTTGTCTCTTGTTCAAACTGTGCAGCAGATCCCAGGGGTTGGGAAGGTTAAGGCCCCCCTTCTGCTCCAGAAGTTTCTAAGCATCCAGCAACTGAGTAACGCCTCCATCCAGGAACTGGAGGAGGTGGTGGGACACGCAGTAGCACAGCAAATCCACACCTTCTTCACCCAGCCTAAGCGACAGCAGCCCTGCAGCTGACATTTCCCTTCAGACTATAAACTACAGCGTCCGGTTTTCATATTTAAAAAGCAAGAAAAAAAAACCATTCTCCTCTCAGTGGCAACAGGCTAAAGATAAGGAGAAGACGGATGAGGCCCCTCCTCATTGTCTGTCCGGGGCAGTGACCTTGTGGGCCTTGGGGAGGGGTGTCTCGGGTGGCACTGGCCACTTTCTGCTTAAGATGAAGAGGATCTCACAGGGATCATCCAGAGAGTTTCTCAGCAGCAGCCAGCTAGAGCAGATTTGTACAAGTCACTTTGCCCTTCGTGTGTCACTGAGAGGGTCCAGGTGTCAGATGTGAGGGTCTAGCACTGAATAGAGAGAGTGCCCCTGTTCCCAGTGTCATGGCCACAGCCCAGGTCTTCTCCGCACATGTCAGGTACCTGTGCTCTGGTGTTTCTGGCAGGGTCAACAAACGCCTTTCCTCCCTCATAACCCCTTCCTCCCTTCTCAACACAGGAAAACTATTCTGTGCTTTGCATGATGTGGAAGAAGTAATTAGGATGAAATAAAAAAAAAATTAACTCAAACAATGAACATGACTTTATTTAAATATTTACATAAACACAGCCCCAGGGATAGTGGGTACACTTTCCTTA